GCATTTTATGTGTATGAGTGTATTGCCTGCATGTACGTGAGTGCACCCATGTCGTGCAATGCCGCGGAGGTCAGAAGAGGCTTCGGATTCCCCTGGAACTGGAGTTAAGGACAGTTGGTTTGTAGCCGCCATGTGGGTGCTGGGGATCGAACCCGGGTCCTCTGCAAGAGCAGCCAGTGCTCTTAACCACTGAGCCATCTCTCCAGCCCCTTATTTATTATTTTTATTTTTTGTGTTTGCGTGTATTGCCTGCGTGTAGGTAAGTGCACCCATGTCATGCAATGCCAGTGTTCTTAACCTCCGAGCCATCTCTCCAGCCCCAAGAATATACATAAATTATTAAAAAATGAAACACTAGCTCAAAAATGTAAGGCAACATGCACAATGTTATGTTTTTAATACCTGGCCTTTCTAGGCAGCATAGGTCTAATTGTCTATCCTTAGAAATAACATGGATTTCATCATAAACACTTCTCACAATAACAATATCTAACTTGTTGAGTTTGTCAGTTGTCTAGAGGAAAAAATGGAAACTTTCTGTGATATTTTAAGCCATGATTTAATCTTTCTGCAGAAATCCAAAATCATGGTTGGGAAAAATTTGACTGAAGTGAAGGAATTCATCCTTTTAGGATTCACAGGAGACATGGAGCTGCAGAGAGTGCTCTTTTTCATCTTCCTCCTCATTTATGTCATCAGCCTCCTAGGAAATATCACCCTGATCTCCCTCATCTGTTCTGACTCTCGTCTCCACACACCCATGTATTTCTTCATAGGGAACCTGTCATTCCTGGATCTCTGGTACTCATCTGTCTATGCACCCAAAATCCTGATGACCTGCATCTCTGAAGACAAGAGCATCTCCTTTGCTGGCTGCCTGGCTCAGTTCTTCTTCTCAGCTGGGCTGGCCTACAGTGAGTGTTACCTGCTGGCTGCCATGGCCTATGACCGCTACGTGGCCATCGCCAACCCCTTACTTTATTCACAGGCCATGTCTCCAAGGCTGTGTGCCATTCTTGTTGGAGCTTCATATATTGGTGGCTTTGTAAACTCTATCATCATCACCAGTGAGACATTCACCCTGAACTTCTGTGGTGACAACGTCATTGATGACTTCTTCTGTGACCTTCCCCCGCTTGTGAAGCTGGCCTGTGATGTGAAGGAGAGCTACCAGGCTGCACTGTATTTCATACTGGCCTCTAATGTCATCACTCCCACTGTGCTCATTCTAGCCTCCTACCTCTTCATCATTGCGGCCATCCTGAAGATCCGCTCCACCCACGGCCGCCTCAAGGCCTTCTCCACATGTGGCTCTCACCTGACAGCCGTCACCTTGTACTATGGCTCAATTCTCTTCATTTACTCCCGACCAAGCACTAGTTATGCCCTGGAACGGGACAAGGTGGTGTCAGTGTTCTACACTGTGGTAATTCCAATGCTGAACCCCTTGATCTATAGCTTAAGGAACAAAGACATCAAGGATGCCCTGAGGAAGATGTTAGAGAGAGCAAAGCTTTCTTAAATAGAAAAACTCAATAGGTACTTTTCAAAAGTTTATCTTCATGTTATTATTCAGTTGATATCATCAGAAATATCAAACTAGAGAAATTGAACTTTTGTGCAATCTTAAGTCTTTGCTTTGATCATATATTACATTTTATTTCTTCAAATAATAATTAATTTGTAAATTGAGAACAATTCTTTTCCCAATGTATTAGTATAAACTCATGTTTTATTTTTATTTTCTCGAAATATCCTAATTGATTCTTTGAGAATTTCATACAATGTGTTTTAATGTTATTCACCCCTCCACTACTTCATGGTCATTTTCCCTATGAACTCTCATTTGTGTTGCCCAAATATTCTTGGGTATGGAGCCTGCCTTGGAGCTCAGTTTATCTGCTGGACTCCTACCCTTAAAGAAAAGTGACTCCTTTCTCACAGCAGCTATCAAATGCCAATTACTCTTCCTCTAGAGGTGGGACTTCCTGCCTACCTTCTTCCTCCCTGCTCCAGGTCTTGTGCAAGTAGTCACAGTGGCTCTGAGTTCCGATGTTCATCTGAATGATTGCTGGAAAACATAGTTTCCTTCATCAACTGGGCCTCTTACATTCTTTCATCCCCCTATTCTATGAAGATCCCTGAGCCTTGGGGGAAGGGCTGTGTATAGATGTCTCATTTATGGTTAAGCTTTCTTTAGTCTCTTATTCTCTGAGTGTTGAACAGTTGTGCATTTCTGTGTTAATTGCCTTCTACTGCAAGAACTTCTTTGAAGAGAATGGAGAGATGCACTAATCTATGAGTGAGCATAGCAATAAGTCATTAGGAGTCTTTGAATATGGCATCTGTTTAACAGATTAATAGCACTAGGTTGTCCCCTGTGGTCTGCATCTAGTTAGAGGTTTCTGGCCCTAATGATGGTGCTGGGACTGAGTTCCATCTTCTGGAGTTGGCCTTAAATCCGTTTATGGCACTGTTTCACTAGTGGGAACATCTTGCCAAGCCAGCCAATATTGTAGCTCTCAATAAGACTGATGATTACTTTTCTCCTCTGGTAGCATGTATAGTACCTTTTAGCACTAGGAAACCTGACTGGTAGATATAAGGTACTAGCTTGAATTTTCTATATTTTACGACTCAACTATGTTTTGATTCAGCAATAGTATCTAACTGTGAAAGTCTGGAGATTAACCAAGATCATTAGCAATAACCTATAATGTTTAGGGGTCCATGAACCATAGTGACCAACAACTCAAAGACAGGTAACCCATTCATGGTTTTGGTTTCCATTTGACTTTTTCAAAAGGCCTTTAGTGTTAGTTATCTCTCCCCGTATTCCATCCTCTACTCTGCTGTCCCACACCGAACCCCATTTCATCTTTCCTGTTCCAATACTCCCCCCTTCCCCCTTCTTGTCACTGTGTGCTATCTTCCTTCCCTTGAAAGATGCCTCTCCTCCATAGCCCCTCATTAGTTTCTATGAATATTGGATTTGAAACACACATATCTAGAGTTTCAAAGCTAACATCCACATGTGATAGCAAACATGAGATGTCGGCCTTTCTACTTCTGTGATTGTCTCCAATTCTATCCATTTACCTACAATTTCATTTTTTATTTTTTGATAGATACTTTATTAAATTTTTGTGCATTTCATACAATGCATCTTAATCATATTTAGACACACTCCACTATCTGCACACTCCCATAGCCTACCCACCAGATTTTGTGGATTCTGTCATATATGTTAAGTTCTATTGAGTCAAGTCTGTGTACCCAGATGTCCCTCTGTGGGAAATGCACAAGACCCATGTGAACTCAATCAGACAAATCCCCAACATAAAACTGCAGAAATGGGTAAAAAGTCCCAGCCTTCACTGAGGAACTATTGACAGCTGATTTCTTCTGGGTGAGGCAGAGTTGGTGTTCCTTAATAGAGTGATGCTAGATAGGCTGAACAAGTTCCAGTAATTTCATTTTCTTAATAGTTTAATAATATTCCATGTGTAAAAGCACTACATGTTCATTATCCGTTCATCAGTTCCATTTCCTGGCTATTGTGAGTAGAGCAACAGTGAACGTGATTGAGCAAGTATCTCTGTAGTAGCATACAGAGTATGTTGGGCAAAGTGTTTAGGATTTTAGATTACAAAACATGATTAATAAGAATAAGAAAACACTTAGTAAATATATGAAGAAATAAATGTATTCAGATTGTTGCACACTAAGAAGTGTGTTTTCTCCTTGGAAGTATAAGTGCTTCACAGAATGCTTCCTCAGATCATATATTAATGCAACTCACATCAGAGGATAACAACAACTTTAACCTAAACGAAGCAAAAATCAACAGCAGGAAGGCCTATTGGTAGGGCCCACAGTTACTTCTGTTTGTACCTGTCCTGATCCAGCCAGCTACCCATCTTCCTCTGTAGTCTTGGTTGTAGCTTGTGTCTTGAACATGGCAAATCCCTGTCAAAGTTGTTTTTATTTCCATAAATTGTAGAGGATCATAAATCGTAGAGGATCATATATGTTACTAAATATATAAAAAATTCCCTGGTTGTGGGTCAAATTCTTTATAACCTCATATAAACTCAATACCTCAATACTCAGGTGAACAAAACTAGATTGAACCTTGCTGTCCTTTGCAAGAACTTCTTGTACCCCTCTGTATTTATGTTTCATTAGTAAACAAAGTGGACTTGTCAACATGCTATTTAGTGGTTTTCTTTGTCTTGGAATCACAACAGATAGTATGTTAATTTTGTGTGGGGCACTCCCTTGGGGCATGTTCTCTGTCACATTTTTAGGCAAATTCTAACTATATATTCAGATCAATGAAACAATACTTTAGACTCAACATTACTATTATTTCAACAGAGGTTTTAATTAAGAGAAAATTTATAGCTCAGTATTTATTACATGGCAGATTTAGTTGGCAGCATCTTGTTCAATAACATTTTTCACCAATGGAAATGAAGAATTATTACCTTCGTTCTACAAATAAGAGTTTCTAGCTCAGAGATTAAACTTTATATTTTTCTTTTTTGAAAATTTTATTTATTTTTATTTTATGTGTATGTGTGTATTGTTCGCGTGTAGGTAAGGGCACCCATGTAGTGCAATGCCCGTGGAGGTCAGAATAGGCTGTCCGAGCCCCTGGGAATGGAGTTGCAGACAGTTGTTAGCTGCCATGTGGGTGCTGGGATTTGAACCTGGGTTTTCTGCAAGAAAAGCCAGTGTTCTTAACCACTGAGCCATCTCTCCAGCCCCTAAACTTTATATTTTTAATTGTTCGAGATTTTCATGTATGCACATAATGTGTTATGGTCAAATCCATCTCTTATTTCCTTCCTCCCAATTCTTCCCGTATCCAACTCATCAGTCTTTTTCTTCTTTTATTTATTTATTATTTATTTTTATTTTATGTGTATTGTGTTATTCCTGTATGCATATAATGTGTGTGTATGGTGTGCAGTGCCAATGGAGGGCAGAAGAAGGTGTTGGAGACCCTGGAACTGGAAGTTGGGTAGAGCAGCCAGTGCTCATAATTGCTGAGTCAACTCTTCAGGTCCTTAGTCATCACTTTTACCTCCCCAATTTATGAGCTTGTTGAGCGAGTGCATTTAGTTCAGCCAGTATATATGTGTGGGTGGTGTACGATCTACTGCAGTTTGGGTAGCTTTTTAGGGGCCTCATTTCTAAAATATCTTGCTCTCTCTCCCCTAGCCACCATCTAGTGCTGATAGCTTCTTAGCAAGATGTGAGATTTCTTGAGTCAGTCTCCCACATTTGCTGGGATTTTGGCTTGATCTATGCAAGCCTTGTGCTGCAACTGATTTAATTAACACATTTGTAGCTTCATTAAAATAAAAATGACAGAGTTGCAGACACTACACCAGTTGTCTTAGCTCAGTTTTTCTCATTTTTCCTTTTACCCACCTTCGATGTCTCATCCATCCACAATTAATCCCTAAAATTAATTGTGGCATTCCAGGTTCATTGTTCACTGAGGAAGCCTTGCTAGCAGTTGCCCAGAAGAAATTAGGGTGTATCCCCTATATGTTACTAATTGACGTTTCCTTCACATCGCCATAATGACCATTTTCCAGGGACAAAAACTGGGTCATTCTTAAAGACAGAATAAAGTGAACTTTAACCCTTTGTGAAAAGTATTACATGCTTGCCTATTTCACATTTAATTCAAATTCTGTTTTTTTTTTTTTTTTAAACTGTACTAGTATTAGTTGGGCATGATGGCACACGCTAGTAGTCCCAGCACTTGGGAAGGCAGGTGGATCTCTGTTAGTTCAAGGCCAGCCTGGTCTACATTGTGAGTTCCAGGAGAGCTGGGGTTACAGGGAGACCCTGTTTCAAAAAGACCCCCCCCAAAAGAACTAAACAGAACTGTATTAGTATTAGCAAGAATCTATAGTCAATAGTATGCATTACAGTGTAAGCCCTAGACAAAGACAGCTAATGAAATGAACATGAGCATAGTACACTGCATACGCATAGGAAGACATTAAAATGAAACCTACTATTTTGTACACTAATAAACAGAACACACTACTAAAGAAAACATGTACATTATTGATATCTTTTTGATGAATTCTAAATAATGATAGTTATATTGTTTTGACACTTAGCTCCCTAATATTTCCCAGAAAGGGTTTGTTATTGCTTAGCTTTGGGTTGAAAAATGTATACTTAGATTTCAGACTATGCTAACCTGAAGAGTTTTTTGAGAGCTTCCTTCACATCCTTATTCCTTAGACTGTAGATCATGGGATTCAACATGGGGAATAACACTGTGTAAAAGGTAGACACCATTTTGTCCCTTTCCAAGGAATAGCTGGAGCTTGGACGAGAGTAGATGTAGAGAATGGAGCCGTAGTACAAGGTCACAGAGATGATGTGTGAGGAGCAGGTGGAGAAGGTCTTGAGGCGGCCCTGGGTAGAGCGGATCCTCAGGATGGCGGTGATGATGAAGATGTAGGAAGTCAAGATGAGCAGGGTGGGGGTGATGACATTGGACACCAGGAGGAAGTACAGAACAGACTGGTAACTCTCCCTGATATCACATGCCAACTTCACCAGAGGCGGAACATCACAAAAAAAGTCATCAATGACATTGTCACCACAAAAATCCAATGTGAATGTGTTGCTAGTTAATATTATTGCATTGACAAATCCCCCTGTATAGGAATACACAACCAAACAGATGCACAATCTCTTTGACATGACCTGAGCATAGAGCAAGGGGTTTGAAATAGCCACATAGCGATCATAAGCCATGGCGGCCAGCAGGTAACACTCACTGTAGGCCAATCCAGCAGAGAAGAAAAACTGAGACAGGCATTCAGCAAAGGAGATGCTCTTGTCTTCAGAGATGCAGGTCACTAGGATCTTTGGAGTATACACAGAGGAATACCAGAGATCCAGAAAAGACAGATTTCCAATGAAGAAATACATGGGTGTATGGAGCCTACAGTCATTGCAGATCAACAGGATGAGGGTGGTGTTTCCCAGCAAGGTCAGAGAGTACACTCCAAGAAACAGGACAAATATGACCAGCTGCATCACAGGGTCTGTTGAGAAGCCCAGCAAGATGAACTCGGTCACTGTGTGATTGCCCTTTTCCATGACTTAAGCAGCTTTCACCTAGGAATACAAAGGAGTTTAGTTGCTTCCACCACTATGAAGTAAGGATATTGTTTTTACTAAGCCCCTGAAATACAGTTAGCACTAATATTGAAAATTGTCTCTCTTGTTGGTGATAATCCTTTGTCTCACTTTATTCATATCAATAAAATATGTGTAATAATAAGCATACAGCCAGGTACATTGGTCCCTTCTGTAATCAGTCCTAACAGTAGAGAGTTGGAAGCAGGTGGGTTCTACTAGATAAAGGCAGGTCTATGTTACATACACAGTTCCAGTAAAGCTTGATTCATACTGTGCAGCAGAGAACTAGAAAACACAAAATGGGACTAGTATGAAAAAGAAGAAGGAGGAGGAGAAGGGGGAGGACGAGGAGGAGGAGGAGAAGGGGAAGAGGAAGAAGAGGATAAGGAAGGGAGGAAGAGGACAAGAAATCAGGAAAGAGAAAGACATTAGTCACAAATTTTCACTGAGAAGGTAGAAAATATTTGATACACTCACGTGCAGGCACAGACACTAGTAACAAAATTTAAAATAAAACTATACTTTTTCTTCATTTGTAGAGGAGATTTCAAACTCACAATTACAGTAATTTTTTAAAGTGCACATATGTCCATGAATACCCCAGATTAAGATGGTGGAGCACATTCTTCCTTTTACATAGGACAGCCCAATGAATATGGATATTTTCATTCTTTCATTCTACATATTAACAGCTCTTCAGTTCCCCAAACTTTGTGACAATCAACAATCCAACCACACAGTTAAAGCATATTCTAGGAGAATAATACCCCATGTTATGGAACAATGCCAGAGCTTCACATTTTACTTGTGAATTTTCATACATTCTCTAAGTATTATGGGAAAAATAAAATATAATTTTAAATATCACTAAGTATCCAAATTGCACATAGGAATACAGTTCTCCATTTTCTTTTTCCACTGTATCACTGAGGTAAAAATTAAGAGCCACCTAGAATGCTATGAGAACAGAATTTTTCTCCATATTATACATCCCTATCTCTAAAGCCATACATGACAGAATATAAACACAAGTCTTTACTGAAAGAACTGGCAGTTTTGATCCAGATGAGCTTCAAGCAGTAGGACTGATGATCTGGCTTGGCCTTTTAAAATTTCATTTGCTTTGATAACTCCAATGAATTTGCTGATAAAAGCAATGCAAGGATATTTGTGTTGTTTGTAGATAAAAAATCAGTCTATAGAATGTCATCATGGTCAAGTATTTGTTTTCTTAAACAGAGAGCCTGCAAGGAAGTGTTTCCCAGATCTGTAGAAGATTGTCTTATTATATGGCATGATGGTGGGAGGCAAGCCTTAGAGATGGGACTGCTCAACTAGAGAGAGCTGAAAAATGCTGTTGGCATCAGGGGAATCCCAAGAATTTAAGTTCTGTACTACTAGCCAAAGTAATGTAAAATCTAAATTTCCTCATAGGTAGCATGGAAGCAGTTTATTTCTTTTAAGGTTGTTGCAAAATCGTCAACTAAACACTTGTATCTGGAATGTCTTAAGCACTCTATTAACAAATGTTTCTACAGTTGTTTATACATAAAATTGCCTACTTTTTATCTAACTTAAAAAGTTGTAGGAGAGCACAAAGGAACCCGGTTTCCTTCATGAAACAGACCAAATGCTTATAATACAGATTGTCTGTAGAGCACACAGAGATGCACTGAAATAGCTATGAATTCTATTAGTTATTGCAGGAGACTTGTCTGCATTACTTTATTGTGAAGACTCAAGGAAAGAACATGAAAATCAGCTTTATAATGTTATAATGACCACACATAGGCCTATGTTGCAGTTCTAGTTGTGATACTAAGAATTTCTATTGTTGTGATTTCAGAAGGCTAACTTAAGTAGCCCTAGTCTAATTGTCCTGTCCACTACAGAAGATAATAGTGATCTCGTCATATAGTTACAGGAATATGTAAATGAGACATTATATATAAAATCCATACTATGCTGCCAAGTGAAATATTTGTCATATGGTATTACATAATTACAATGAGATGGTATTGTCTATTTATTTAAAATATAGCAGTTACTAGATTTGCATTTAACATCTCCCCCATGTTCTCTTGACTCACTTTCAATCTTCCATCAGGATCTTTTTTCCCTTTCCTATCACTACTTCTTTTGCACAATAGTCCTTTCAGTGACTTAACCAGGGTGATGTCCTCCCCCATTTATCCTGCTGTGCTGGATAAATTTTTTCCTTAGGGCTACTATGATAGAATAGATAAATAAGTTGTGCAGAGTTTTGCTCCCTTTGAGACTCATAAGATATATAATTCTTCTCATTTGAAATTCGATGTTTATAATTCACTCTGGGCCACACAAGGAAAGACAGAGCATGCATTTCCTTGGGGTTTCCCTTGATACACTGTATACCAGAAGAAAGCAAACTGAATCTTATATTTGTTAGAGAAAAACAGAAGCAAAACTAGGATACCTGAAAATACATGCTAGTCAGTCCACATGCTAGCCTCCTTAACAAAAGTTGTAAATTTTTATTATTGTCTAGAAATGAGATAAATGTTCAATTCATGATTACTAACATACCATTTTACTAAAAAATACCATAATTATGAAAATACCATAATTACTGAAGTAGCACTGTTTTTAGAGCTCAGCTTCCAATGTCAAAGGGCTGCTAAAATTAGCACATGCCCTGATACCTTCATGAAGAATATTACCTGAAGGAGCTTTCAATTTCTCCTGATGCCCTTTGTCCCCTAGACTACTCATCTCTTTTTATTCTCCCCCTCACTCGCCTTGAGATATTAACAGACTCTCTTTCTTCAGAGGCTGTTTTTTTGGTTAGTGCCTCCTGAATTGCTTATTTGTGCACTTAGTATCTTTTCCTGATAATTTTCTGCATTGAAATTGATATATATATATTTTTTTGCTGAGTGCAATTCTGCTTCTGTAAGTGAACTCACAACAGTGTCAGAAATGGAGATAGAAAAATGATGAAGATAGCTCAGAAGAGGCCCTTTCTTTACCACTTGTTATAACACATCATCATGCAAAAGGTTATTATAATCATTTTGGAAACAATTTCAACTTTTTATAAAATAAAAAATTAAGACACTTGCCTGAAATTTTCAGCAGCAACATCATCTCATCATAATTCAAACCGACATAGTGTTTTATGCCAGTTTCTGGATTCCCAAGGTTGCAGGTTTCTGAAAACCCTCAGGATTTCCTCCCTCAGGGAGGGGGAGGAAGTAACAGGACAATTAAAACGGTATGTTGACAAACTGGGTATATTAAACAAGATGGAGAGCAGTTTTGGAGACTCTGTTGCCTTAGTGCAAAAAGAAATCAATAACGATTCTCATTCCCACTCTCAATTTCTGTAGAGGGTGTTCTAATGCACACATACATATTTGAACTACACATGTGTATATATATATATATATATATATATATATATACACTCCAAATCATTCATATCTTTCCAAACTGATATTTCTGTTATATTTCTGTTTTCTCTCCAAATTCATTCTGCAGTTTTCTAATCTCTTTGCTTCAGTATGATAGTTGTACTAATCAGATCAATGACCTTCTTTATCTAGTCTGCCTGCCTAATGAGTTTATCCAGTGGTTTTCAATGTCAGGGAGGAGAGTGACAGATGACAGTTTTTCCCAGGCTCTTTACCCTGATACAGCAGGTTATCGTCCTGGACTTTGGCCATGGCTCCTGATAGCTCAGGGTCTTACTAAGTTCTCTTTCCTATGCCCATAGCACTCCTCTTGTACATTTAAGAATGGAAGTTATAACAGGCTCACAGCAATTATCAGTCCTCGACTTATTACACAATTCCTTCAGAATTTATTGTACCATAGGCATGTCTCTGTTGTAGTCTTTTATTTTGTTTGTCTTTGTTTTCTTTCTTTTTTGAAGACATTTTAAAAATTATAAATCTTCCTTAATTTTCATGAATTTCATACATGTATATAATAAAACATAATCTTAGCTGCCCCGTATTCACCCCTCCAACTCCCTGATGTACCATACAACATATCCCTCCAACTTCATGTCTTTTAGTTATTTATTGATAATCCACTAAGTCCGGGTAGTGCTTTCCATATATGGATGGGTTGTGGCCAACCACTTGGGCCCAGGATATCTGCCAGTGTGAACACCCTCAAAAAGGAATGATTCTCCATCCCCCACCAGCTATCAACTGCCAGTAACTTCTCATTAAGGAGTGGGACCTGAAAAGCACCTCCACCATCTATGCCAGGATTTTGGCTGGCTTGATTTTGTGCAGGATTTATTCAGGTAACATAGATGCTGTGAGTTCATGAGTGTGTCAGCCGCACCTTGTCTAGAAGACAGCATTTCACTGCATTCCTCCTGATCTTCTGACTCTTAATTCTTCCTGCCTCCTCTTGCATGATGTGGGAGGAAAGTGTTGATAAAGACACCCCATTTATACCTGACCACTCAGTCTCTTAGTCTCAACACTTCAACCATTTATGCATTTGTATAGGGGCCTTTAACTATATTCTATTTAAATGGCTCATTTATGTAGTCACATAAAAACTTCCAGGTTCAAAAATGGCATTTTTCCTAGAATGAGCCCATGGAGATACACATTCAAATCGACTTTCCCCCACATATTTGATGGCTATTGGAGAAACTTGTAGTTGAGAGAAGTGAAACACATATAGTCTTTGTAATCCAGGGTCATCATACTTATGTAAATGACTACCAATGGCATCATAGCATGAAGGTCAGGTGGAAGTCATTGAGAGATCATTTTTCTCTAACAAGACATGTGAATTTAGAGTGCAAATCTTATGCAGACTTGTCTGTGCTGAAATGTAAAGCTATAACTACCAAACTATAAAGATTAAATAGGCATCTAAAATATTTGTCATCTACCAAGGTCCTAGAAAAAATATATTTGAAAATCAATGCTATGGAATTGGAGAGTTGTAGC